ATTCCATCTTAGTCCTCACGGGTGACAACGCATCTGCATATAAACATATTTAATAGTAGTGCCTGCACTGTTCCAGTCTGAAGGGCTTAGAAAATCAGGCAGTGAATTATTTCATCCTAGTACAACTTTATACAAAACCTGCATATAAGAAATGAAATGTATTTCAAAGGCCTGTGAAGTCCGACAACACATATTCGAGTAGAGAAGCAGACTCTTCCCCACTCTAACACGCTCTCAGAAACAAGGGTCTAAACCTAGCACCGATAAACTTTTACATTTTCTTTAATTTTTTTAATTTGTTAATACCGAATACTCATTCAAAAAATGTTAGAAGCAGCTTAATTCCTTACACCTCGTTTTTTCTTATTCAACAATAAGTTTGATTGCAACGATTTCGTAGGTATGTACCTACTTATAGTTTTAAATAAACGATCGGTCTCACTATGTGTAAAATATAACATATGCGCTTGAACAGATCAGACTTCGTAAGACAAAAGCTTTTTATTGCATACTCCCAATTTCCTCTTACATAATACAGCAATTAGAATTTTATATTTATTTGAAGCTAGAAGTCAGTATTTAGCATTACTAAATGCTAACTTTGTAATTCAAATACAACAGGAATTTATTTTAGCTTTAATTCACAAATTGAATTAATTTATGTTATTAATGTACAGTTATACTCACCTTGATATGGCCATGGAAACTTTATCGTGCTATGTTATTTATTGAATATTAAAGGAGCTGGTTAGTTGTTCTTAATGATTAAATTACATTAGTCTATGTTGTTTCTAATCTGCGGTTTCTATTTTTTATCTTAAGCACAGAAATCTAAATAATAACCTCATTATTTAGATTTCTGTGATCTTAAACGTTAAATGTTTCTAAAATCGTCACATTTTCGTATCTAAAATATCTCATTATAATGAAACATATGTTTTACAAAAAGTGATATCATATAAGAAGTAACAGAAAAAACGCATACAAAAAATTATAATACGTTGGATGTGACATTGATATTTTTCAACAGAAATAAACATAGCAATATTAAACTGACAAAGTTATGATTTCTTAAATTTACGCGAACACTACACATTAAATAAAACTATATTTACGGATTATATAGCGTTTTATTTATTTATTTTAACCTGTTTTTACGATGTTTCGGAACGTCGGGATTTAAAAATAAGTAAAAACAAGTTAATTTAAGTTTTGGTAGAGTCATGCCGCAGTTATATTAGTAGTATAGTTGTAGCACGAATGGGTCGGCACGACCGGGGAAAGATCACACTCTCACAGAATACCAGCGTAAAATGATAGGTTAATGCTGCTGTGTTTCGTATGGTAAGTGTAGAGAACCGGAGATCCTTTTTACTGGAAACAAGGCATTCCATCTTAGTCCTGAAGGGTGACAACGCATCTGCATTTTGATTTGTAATCGAGGATAGATGTATATGTCTATGGGCCACAGTAACCACTTACCATCAGGTGGACTGTGTGCTCGTTTGTCACCCTATCCTATAAAAAATTAAACGTGATATTATCCTTAAATATAGTTTTATTCTACTAATAATTAATTAAAAAAAATACAATAAGCTTTGTTCATGGTTTTAATAATTTAATAATGGTGCATGCGTGCGTGCGTGCGTGCGTGATTGCGGCTTTTTAGTTAAACTTAAAAAAATGCATCGATTGCCGTAAATCACATGAAAATCAGTTGATATGTTAGTTTAAAATAAAATTTTGAAAAAAAAAACGTGGTTTCCCAAAAATATGACACCATAGTAAGTGGAATTTGAAGGCTTTGATATTGAAAGTAACGGGAAGTTCCGGGGATGTCCTGCAGATTCAACCATTTTTTTTAAATTAATCTTCCTATAATATGAGAAACTACATTAGATAATCGTAGTTTTTTGGATTTCCAAAAAGGTAACTTTGTCAATTCGACTATACGTTGTTTTGTATGTTACATGATACCTCTAAAGTTAATTACTCGATTTAGATAATTTTTTATCGATAGGGTGTACTTTTAAGTGTCGTATTAATTTAAATCAAATATAATTAAAATGAATTTTGTTTTCTTTTTATAATTTAATCTTAACTTGATCACCACTGATTTTTAACGAAATACGAAACAATTTAAATGTGAATTTCGTCTTCCTGTACAGTGTAAATATTAAGACTGTATTTAAAGTACTCTGTGATTGAAACCTTAGAAGTCTGGAGCAAAGTTTATTTGAAAGCACATCATTTTAGCCTTGAAATACACTTAACAACGAGCCTACTTATCACAAGTTCACGGCTGAACGTAGGTTGATTTCCTCAAAGCACAGTCTAGCACCACTCTTGGATGCTTCATTATACATTGTTACTGAGACAGTTACTTTTCCTTAGATTAAAAATATTTACACTAGACAAATGAAAAAAAAAAAGAAAAAACGGGTATAACTTCATTACGCGTGAATTGCTTTTCCTATCTAAAACACGAAGTCTGGAAGTATAGATAATAAGGCTCTGCTTTAGCAAATATGGATGTGCGGCCTTTGCGGTAATTATTCCTTGCGGTACTAAAAAAAGAGGCGACAATCACATTGCTGTGCAAGTAATATTTTATGCATAATAGAATGATACAATCAACATAGGAGTGTGACTTATACAATATTGTAGAACTCAAAATATTGCAAAGGCAAGGTTGGTTAGTAAAGATTAACCATAAAGATTTATTTTTGTGTAAAAATTTAAAGACATTAATCATGTATTTACAATTGAATGTTGCATCATAATTTTATATCAGTTAAACCCAAAAACAATTAGAGTCTTTACATTTTACCATTTTAGGGTGCCATATAGATCATTTGTATTCCATGGGTTGCAGTACCTAATTATATTCCACTAAATTTAAAAAAAATTAACATTTACATTACATTTACATTAATCATTCTGCAATAACTTTGTACAAGCACACTCACACGATTTAAAATAATCTTTTAAGGTATATCCAAAGAATTGTTAAGTTATCTACATTTCATTACAACGTGTTTAGTTCTTTATTACTAATTTAAATTCAAATCCATCAAACAAAAACAAAATACAAAAAAATAACCAGAATCACCTTTTTTGCTTGACGTTGTTTCAATGATATATCGTTACGTAACTTACCGTAGTATTTGGATGATTAAAATTGATCTTAATGCGAATAATCAGTAAAAATATTCAAATAATCGAAACTTTAGATCTTTTAATTTATTATTTATTTATTAAATTACAGTTGCATAAATTATATGAATCATGAATTAAAGGGAGCGTCAATTAATTACGTGAGATATTTAGGGGGGGAGGGAGTCGAGCCGAATCTCACCCTATCTAACGTGAGGGTAAAGGAAGGTCTTGGGAAATATCACGTAATTTTTTCCGCAATAAATAGTGTAAAATTTCAAGAAAATTGAGTTAAATTAAGTAAAATATGGCTGAATTGGCGACTACACAGTACAGATTAATTTATCGTGGTGATGTGAACTCCACAAATTATATAAAAATAATTAAGCAAATTCTGTTTGTTTTTGTTTTTTTTTTTTTTAATAAATCCAGCGCAGTCAAGCACAGAGTAACGTATTTACACTAAAAATACGCATTTTGAAAAATTTCACATGAGATTTAGGGGGAAGGTTTGAGAGTCGAGCCATATCACATGACAACTCACCAGGAGAAGGGAAGACTAGAAAAATCGCAAAAATCACCTGACGTAATAATTGGACGCCCCCAAACAAGTATATTTTTTATAATTTCTGTGAATCCCACCACGGCGTGGTTGCGTGTAAATTTAGAAGATGTTAGCTTATACTATGGTAGTGTAGACTATAGAGTCATTGAGAACCATTTAAAAATGAATTGGCGTCTTGAAAAATTCATCAACGCAAAATAATTATTTAGAGATATAAATGCAAAGAATAACATTTTTACGGGAAATTTCAAATATAACTTGGGACAACTTTTTATTCATTTATGCATGCAAACATGGCTAAGTGCCTACCACACTGTGTCATAGACATGGACAGATGACACGTGGCTGTAGGAAAAGGAGGGTAGAGATTTGTGGAAAATATATCTACTACACAAAGGATCTGGGCTAAGTGATGGAAAAAAGTCATTTGTTATGGACGATTATGAAAGAGACATTCATTTTGAATGCATTATAGAAAATCAGAAATAATGTAAATAACGATGATGACGGCGAAAGGAATTAATCAATTTTTAATCTATTTAGTTTATACAACTTGATCTCTAGAAATTAGCAGTAAGCAATGAATCTGAAGAAGCTGATATATTTTGTGTTTTAAGTTACCTTTTTCTAATTTATTTTATATGATATTTTTATTTAATTTAATTTTGCAATTTCAATTAGAAAATATAGATACCTGAGTTAAAAAAAACTTTAAAGAAGACATTTATTCCGCTATTGATATAGATAAAAGTTTAAATGATTACCACCTCTAAAGAATCAACATCGGTTTTTATCGATCAAGGATCTAAAACTGCAGATACCCAATTTTTCAGTTAGAATGCCTCGTCCAATAAATGTGACAGCTGTCAAAAGGTATTTCTTAGAATTGGTGGAGTATAGAGCTGATTGTTGCAGTTCACGGATATCCGCATCTAATTGACTGGGTGATCATATGTCTCGTGCTTTTGATTTTTGATTGATCACCGGTGCGGGTATTTAGTCCGTGGCAAAAATAATCAGAAATCGCCTTTATCGCAAGTAATACGCGTTCGATTTCCAAGGGCATTAATAAAATTGTTAATTATAATTTAAACTGCTGGTTACCACATGCAGAAAAACATAGTGAGGTAAACTACATGTCCAAGAAATAAAATATCTTGAGGACACGTGTAGACTTTTCTCCTTCTCTCAGAAATAAAAGGAGGCATGTGCTCAAAAGTGGGTCGTGTTAAAACTGTTATTAACTAAGTAAATAAAATTAAAATAAAACACGACATACCAAACCACGACGCTTGCTGCTTGTTGATGGAAAGCCCCTCTTTCGCATTTAACACTTCAGGTAGAACCACGGTGACGAAGCTTAAGGACATTCCGAGTCCTACTAATAGGAAGTTCAGTGCCAAGCATGCGAACAACTAAAACAAAAATTTCAATATACGCAAAAAAGAAAAGCGACAAAATCCGTATGAATAGTTTCCTTCAGTATAAAAATATTATTATTATTATAAACATTTATTGTAATAATCCTTGATGTAATGTTAATTATAGCATAAATTTTATTTAAATTGAATAATACATTGAGGTGTAAGGAGGACTACGTTAACTATTTCAAAATTTCGACAGTGCGTGAATATTATTTAGCTCAGAAAGCAGATTAATGGGCTTTGATGATGGCGCTGCACTCTGGTTCTGAACTTTTATTTTGTTGTATTTACTTAAAACTTACTACTTCTAGTAATTTACTACTATGTATTCAAATACCCATCATTACTGGAAACAAATATTTAATCTTAATCCTCAGGAGTCACAACATATTTTCATTTCTTAATTAAGGAATAATTTTTTGATTTACATTTTGATCCATAATCGAAGATAGGTGTAGATGTCTATGGGCCATAACAACCACTTACCACCAGGTGAACTGCGTGTTCGTTTATTACCATTATTCTATTTAAAAAAATATCTCCTCCGGTAAGCAATGATTTAAATAAAGATTACAGAAAGAACATCTTTTGCTATTTACTCTTGCATAGTTATTACATAACACCAAACTGCGAGTTTCTGCTTTTGTATTCTAATAAAAATTTAACGTTTTAATCTCTGTTAATTCTAATACTAATACTGTTAATTCAAACTGAAACTGAAATAGAAGTGTTGGCTTATCAATTTATCACCACATCACATACATTCTGCAAATGTCTATAAAGTTCATGGCTGGACTTACTAATAATGCGTTCAATGGCAAGTATTTTAAGTGTTCGTAGTGCTTTATAAACAATTTTATAACTTAATATACTTCGCACTTATATAACTGGTCTCTGTACAGGTGTGTTATATCTTTTTTTTCAGCAGTTTTGGAATTGGATTGGATTTAGCAGAACCTCGCTCGTTAATTTACTGTGTGCATAACGCGTTGAGAGCTTAGTAACTGGAGAAAAGTTAACATGTTCCCTCTTATGCCTCCAACTTATACATAAATAATATAGATTTTAGTTAATAAATAAATTGTCGACTCAAATTTACTAACAAAATTTCAATATGTTCAACAGTATATAGAAATTTCTTCTGAATTAACATAAATTAAAAAATTGTATCAATTGCCTCTGAATGTTGATAATTCGCACAGATTGTATCAATATAAATGGAAAGTATCGATTTACATGAATACTAGAATAGTTATTAAAAAATCAATCGATTGATTAGCAATCAAATGGTGCAGCAACAAAATCAGAATTTACCTGAGATAGTACAACTCTCGATCGACTAGGTGGCTTCATTTCATCACTTTTCTGTGTCATTTTTAAATTTACACAAACCAAAAAAAAACTTATATAACTGTTATCGAACTCTAAATCACTCAGTACACTTTTGTTCTAATCCGTAAAATATAGCAGTCTACTTTCAATCTTAATTTGAAACAGTATAGCACTTATTTGTCTCTTTTATTGTCTGTATTAATTGTTATTTAATAATGATATCATGGTAATTACAGTACAATAACAACGTTAAGGCGTGTTGCATCACATTTCATTAAAATTTTTAACACTTGTCCATCAAAGTTTTTAATCTTAAGAAATCGGGTACCGCACGTAAAAGCATCATAGAGTCATCCGCGTTTAATGGCAAACGTTACGTAAATGGACCCCTCAGTTTTTATTACAGTAATAAATTTGAATTCTAACTTAGAGCAGTGTAGAATAACTTGTTTTCAAATTTTTAGTCATCGGACGTGCTCTTAGTTATAAACAAAATATTTTTGTAATGGTGTATTGACAAACCTAATACAGAAGAAGAAGAAGCCTAATACGATTATAGTAGAAATAGCACTTCTGCTACTAATATAAGACAGCTATTTTATCATGTTCATGTCTCTACTAAGTTAATTAATATTTAACTTTTATATAAGTTTTCAAAAGTTTTCTAATTCACAAGGCACTAAAATATGATTTGTTTTTGTGTTTTGTATAAAATTGATTTTTCTGAACCGTTTAAGTTGTAATTCAAACAAAATTTTATTTTATTTTTTTCAAACAATTACATAATTTTGTAATTTAAATATTTTGTCAGTCTGTTGGTTAGGTCACCAGTTATTTGTTTTCAGTACCGTCTTTTAAAAAGAGTTATTTTTACAAAAGTTTCTTTAGGTTTATATAACATTTTAAATCCGTTTTAAATAGATAGACAGAGCTATATCACATTTTAGGATAATACTAATTTTTAAGCTGTTTGTTATTGTGCTGAAAATTCTGTACTTGATTTTAGACAAGAGTGTTTAACAAGTGCTTTTTACAATGAGGTCATATGTAATTGAGATGACCCCCCTACTGCTAAACGTATAAATATGCTGGACGGTTCTCTACGTCATAACGACTATAAAGATCCATGCCAGAACTAGATTAATCGACGTACCTCTACGGATTCGTAAGCTGAAGTGGAACTGATCCGGCCAACATATATTTAATCAAAGAGGCCGGCCATATTTCTTTAAAAACCAACAGCCGATAGGGAAAAAGATTCTCGTAACCGTATTTCATCGTAGCCCATCACTCCGATAAGTAAAATGACAAACCTAACAATTGGGAGAGAAGCGCAGATAGTCGATAGATGTGGGAAGCTTAGGTTGTGTTTTATTGCAGGACTATTATCAACAGTAAACTTATGAAGGGCTGTAATACTGATGATAATGATGCTTGAAATGCATGGCAATACCGAGACATTCGACGCTGATGTCGAACTGGTGTCAGCATCATTAATCGATACTACATCTTGTGCGTGACTCGGTCTCGGTGGTGCGATTATGTACTTATGTACTAGAGTCTTTCATTCACTACATTCTTGACTCTTTTAATTCTGCTGAACTGAAAAGCAGTTTGTCAGCAACCTAACATAAGGCTGTGTGATACGAAACGACCCTTGAGAGATCAGTGGCAATATACGATTGAATATTTTATCCCACGGTAATGCCAATAATAGCGTGAACTTGTCCTAGGACACGAAACGGTATATTATAGTAATAAAGTAAAATTGCAACGCCTTTCCGTTACCCCGTCCCACGGCTGAGCACATGCCTGCTCTCATTTTTCAAATGCTATTAGGGCAAGGAAATGTCCGCCGCGCTACCCGCACTGCCCTATTGTGTACGTGTTAGCGGAATTGACATTCCTTCAAAATATATTTTTTTTCGCTTCCTTCCCAAGGAATGTAGCTGTTGGTGCTCTCCCGAAGCCTGTGCATCAGAGATACTGTTCTTTTTCGCAGAACTGCTTGAAAGCTGTACGTTACCGCTTCAATAAACATGCCTGATGCACTACAGAATCGTTAAAGCCCAACAGCACCCTAAATGCATTATGATATTTCATACGAAGAACATTGTAGGCCCGCTACACATATCTAAAACACAGGCAGCAGGTATTTCACTTAGCAGTAATTTTCACTTCTCTCGTACAACGTGTAAACCTGCAGGCCATCATGTTGCACCGGACCGACAACGCTTTTCGCTCTCTATATCATCGTCATCATCTAAATCTTCATTAACTGTGTGGCCAAGGTATTTACACTCTCTTGAGTGCTACACCATAAAGGCACACCGTAGCAACTGTGTTAGGCTTTTTAGTACCCACTCGAAAAACCATAACCCCACCTTCTCCATATTATATAGGAGGCCATGAGACACGGCATATCTTTAACACACTTCAAGCAGATGTCTGAGTACATTAATCGAGGGACTCAGCACCACCATATCATCTGCATAATTGTTACTATTTATTACATTGCCGTAAATGCTACATCCGATACCGGTGCTGCTAAGCTCCTGGATTGACGGATAGGTTAAAAAGCGCCGGGGAGACTATACCACCCAGTCTCACCACACTCCAGTCCGTACATCTCAGACAATGCACTTGACCATCTGACCTGGTTAATTTGATGACCGTACCAGAATTGGAAAAGGTTGACCAGCTCGTTAGGTACCCCTTGCTTACATAATTTTCATCATAAGATATTATAATTAAACGAATCAGAAGTCTTAGAGAGATCTAACAATGCAAGCATACACAGATGTATTTTTATCGGTGTAGTACCTGACTGTGCGCTTGAGCGCAAAAAAAGAAGTTTCAGTAGACATCCCAGGGGTGGATTTACCAGCAGGCTTAGTAGGCTGGAGCTCACAGCAGCAGAACTTTGGGGTGGCAATTATAGGCAATGTTTCTATATCTTACACAAATTAAAGAGATTTAAATTTTAAAAAGAAATATTTTCTACCACTATCTCGGAACTCAAAACACTTTTTCGTTGAATAAAACTAAATTTACGGATTCTATCGCGTTTATTTAACTGATTTTACTTATTTTTAATACCTGACGTTTCGGGTGCTTTACAGCACCCATAGTCACGGGGGGGGGGGACAGAGATGTTTGTCGACCCAATTTCATTGTTAGCCCGGCTACCTTCAGTTTTTGAATATAAATTTTTGGTCCGATTTACGCAAAACTTTTTCGTTCCTTGCTCTGCCCACTCTTTAAACTTAATGGCAACTGCGGCTGCAGAATATTGCACAGAAGCTTGTCACTTCTGCAAGTTGCTTCAAGAAATCTACATTTTTTTATAAATTCAACACAACGCTGGAAAAAATAATGACCTAAATCAAGAAACAGAAAACGCTAAAGAGAGTAGATCTGACACGTTGGTTAGCCGGAGAGGATGTTATGTGGAAGTTTGAGATATTCTTGGTACGAAATCCTTAAAAATTTTGGATTCAAACAATTAAGATCGATGTAATAATACCGAAAATGCGAAACGAAGCGACAGGATACTTTTGAATACAGAAAATCTGAAAATGGCGGTAAAGGTGATATCAGACAGTTCATTTTTCGTTCATTTTTATCTTTCATTCGTCACCTTTCACTCAAAGTGAATCGTTTGAACACAAAATGAAACAAAAGTGCCGAATGAATTCATTAATGAACCGACCCAACAATGTTGGATATTAGCACTCGGCATCTTTCACTCCCAATCCGAATGAACGAAAAATGAACGGTCTGAACACAGAGTGAGCGTTCACTCGTATGCGGCCATGGTGTTTAAATGGAATAACCAAAATACTTTGGAACCACAAAATTGATGCATATAAAAACAAAACAATACGGGCAAACGCTATATCTTTAATTTTGCCGATTTAAACTTATATCTTATTGAGGAAGACATTAAACAAAATAAAGACGGTGAGGACCCGCTATACACGCCGTTTTCTTTGTTTATTTTATGTCAGTTCCTTAATTAAGCTATCGCAAGTTAAATTAATTTCAATACGCACAACTGTATTTGACTACATCTTGAGAGAAAAGAGCAGGTGAATGTTCATTTTTAGTCACTGTATCTAGGCTGTGTGAACATGGAATGAAAGAAAAATGAAGCAGTCACTCCAGTGAATATTCATTCGAGTGAACTGTCTGATATCACCTTAATGGTTGTTGTGTGATGTTAAAGTGAATGTTCAAATTCAGGTTTCTACCTTAGATTCGATCTTTACGAATCCCTTTGCAAGTTTCTCGTAGCTGAACGACAAAATTTTAAGTATTTCGAAGAAATGGCGATAGAATTAAGCGTGTCGAATCAGTATACAAAAGACTCGGAGAAAAGACAACCGAAAAGGAAAAATAAATTCCAACACCCGATGAAGAAATGAGAATAAACGAATGATATTTTCAAGGTTAGGTATCATATTTCTCTTCCTCATTGATAAACTCGTTTCCGAATTACAAAAACGGCAAGGGACCTGCTACAGATTCAATGAAAAGTTTTCGTTTTTGAGCTAAATGAGTGAATTAACTCTTACGGAAAACCCCTTTTTCTTGAAAAGAGTACATTTTTATGATAAAGAGACGAGAGAACGCACACGTTATCAATGCCACCTTTCTTCTAAAAGAATTTTAGTCAAACCTGATTCTGAATAAGTATTATAATATATGATTATATAATTATAATATAATTATAAGTATATTGTGCGAAAACAGAATTTGCAAAACATTTATCCATACTTTAACACAGCAGCTCGCATGGTTTTATGTACACCACCGATAAATTGTTTGGATGAGAGATACTTTTTTTCCTTAAAACGGGTAAAATAATTATCTAAGATCTACCATAAGCTAAAAAATTCTGAACGCCTTAGCGCTTTTGTGCAGTCAGATAATTAACAAGATTTCCTGCTACGATATAATTGATGATTTTGCGAATAAAAATCGTACAAAATAGAATTGCAAAAACTTCATAACTTAGCTTATTGAATTTCATCATCACT